CCAGTCGTGACGTATTATATTGTTTAGTCACACTTACCTTTGTGTTGCCAGTCGTGACGTATTATATTGTTTAGTCACACTTACCTGTGTGTAACCAGTCGTGACGTATTATATTGTTTAGTCACACTTACCTTTGTGTTGACAGTCGTGACGTATTATATTGTTTAGTCACACTTAACTTTGTGTTGCCAGTCGTGACGTATCATATTGTTTAGTCACATTAACCTGTGTGTAACCAGTCGTGACGTATCATATTGTTTAGTCACACTTACCTGTGCGTTGCCAGTCGTTACGTATTATATTGTTTAGGCACCCTTACCTGTGTGTTGCCAGTCGTGACGTATCATATTTTTTAGTCACACTTACCTTTGTGTTGCCAGTCGTGACGTATCATATTGTTTAGTCACACTTACCTGTGTGTTGTCAGTCGTGACGTATCATATTCTTTATTCACATTTACCTGAGGGTAACCAGTCGTGACGTATCGTATTATATTGTTTAGTCACACTAACCTGTGTGTTACCAGTCGTGACGTACATAAAGGATCTTACATGAGTTTCTGTGTCATATCAAATTATTGAACGAGTTTAATAAATTCAATATGATATGGACACAAATATATAATGATTTTATTTATCGTACAACATTCATAATTTGTAAAAATGAGTTACAAGCTGACTCTATTGGGTAAAACCCAAAGTACTCCGATCATAGTATTGTCGTTCCGCGAGGTTTTTTTTATAATGAACACTTTTAAATGCAATGAAAATAACAATGATAATGACAAAAGAGACATTTCAAATTAATTTAAATAACAGTAAATGTATCATTTTGCATTTTTGATAGAAAGTAGTGCGGACTGTAGTGGCGTAAGAACATGTTCCAACGGTTTTGCAGCACCTTAAGGTTTTATTACGCGTGTGTAATACCATATTTATGACATGGCCGTATGACATAGTAAAATGGGTCAGTTATTTGATGATACACTGTTAAGTCACACTTACCTGTGTGTAACCAGCCGTCTCTGATCATGTTATCTGTAGCTTCTTGGTTGTTGAGATAACCCTTCATTACTTGTGGCCCTCGTACCAATATCTCGCCCGTCTCCCCGGGACCGAGGCACGCACCGTTTTCAGCGTCTATTATCTAAAGCAAACAGAATTACGCGATAATACATTCATATCATATTGCAACCAACAATCGTACAAGTGCTGATGTCAAATAAAAGATGTGCATCAATCAACAGCTAACCTCAAACTGATTCTAGGACCTTATATGGCTTACCAGCACCAAACGCCTGATAGATTAACACGCACGCAGACTTACTGTCAATCAACCTACCGACCCACAGCCGACCAAAACAGTAGTCTCCAAGCAAATGACTGATCGCCAACAATCTGTCTGTCTTACATTGTATCGCCATCCAACTTATTAACCGTGAAAACAAATGATTGAATGTTTATAATCAAACGTTTACCATTAGCATAATCCAGTGTAACCATCTCGACACTGAACTAAACAATGACTTTGATAGGATTCGAATCTAAATCCAGAAATAATGTCTTCTGAAAGAGCATAATTTTCAAGTCTCTGTTATAATAATTATTATTGAAAACAATACATTAATTTGATACGACACCTTTGCTTGCGTGTTGGAGACCAGCTGCCCAACGGTTCCGAGTTTCGGAGGGGCTTGGTCCATCAGAATGATCGGACTTGTCTCTGTAAGTCCATATGCTGAAACAGTTATTTACTAAGATAAATCAGAATGTATTGAACCAATGTACTAACATACGTCTTCCTTCGCAATCATACGTATTTACATCGAGATCAAATCATATACAATTTCAAAATGTGTTGTCATATTGGTAGAACTGTGGAGTGATTGTTTTACAAACAGGAAAGTTTTGGTTTTATTGTGTATAGCGTCATTTTAAAGTCACCTAGAAACGTGCCTTCATCAGTGTAATGTAACAATGAAGTTGAGAGTAAAGCATTCGACGAAGTAGAAAATATCAGATTTCAAAAATGTGACGATTTGTCTCGGTCTGGGAGGGAGACCCATAAAGTTCTTCGCTCATAGATACCAAACAAGCAGAAAGCCATGGGGTATTGTGTAAACAAGAAAACAATTGGGTGGGGTGTAAACAAGAAAGCCATGGGTGGGGTGTAAACAAGAAAGCCTTGGGGTGGGGTGTAAACAAGAAAGCCATGGGGTGGGGTGTAAACAAGAAAGCCATGGGGTGGGGTGTAAACAAGAAAGCCATGGGGTGGGGTGTAAACAAGAAAGCCATGGGGTGGGGTGTAAACAAGAAAGCCATGGGGTGGGGTGTAAACAAGAAAGCCATGGGGTGGGGTGTAAACAAGAAAGCCATGGGGTGGGGTGTAAACAAGAAAGCCATGGGGTGGGGTGTAAACAAGAAAGCCATGGGGTGGGGTGTAAACAAGAAAGCCATGGGGTGGGGTGTAAACAAGAAAGCCATGGGGTGGGGTGTAAACAAGAAAGCCATGGGGTGGGGTGTAAACAAGAAAGCCATGGGGTGGGGTGTAAACAAGAAAGCCATGGGGTGGGGTGTAAACAAGAAAGCCATGGGGTGGGGTGTAAACAAGAAAGCCATGGGGTGGGGTGTAAACAAGAAAGCCATGGGGTGGGGTGTAAACAAGAAAGCCATGGGGTGGGGTGTAAACAAGAAAGCCATGGGGTGGGGTGTAAACAAGAAAGCCATGGGGTGGGGTGTAAACAAGAAAGCCATGGGGTGGGGTGTAAACAAGAAAGCCATGGGGTGGGGTGTAAACAAGAAAGCCATGGGGTGGGGTGTAAACAAGAAAGCCATGGGGTGGGGTGTAAACAAGAAAGCCATGGGGTGGGGTGTAAACAAGAAAGCCATGGGGTGGGGTGTAAACAAGAAAGCCATGGGGTGGGGTGTAAACAAGAAAGCCATGGGGTGGGGTGTAAACAAGAAAGCCATGGGGTGGGGTGTAAACAAGAAAGCCATGGGGTGGGGTGTAAACAAGAAAGCCATGGGGTGGGGTGTAAACAAGAAAGCCATGGGGTGGGGTGTAAACAAGAAAGCCATGGGGTGGGGTGTAAACAAGAAAGCCATGGGGTGGGGTGTAAACAAGAAAGCCATGGGGTGGGGTGTAAACAAGAAAGCCATGGGGTGGGGTGTAAACAAGAAAGCCATGGGGTGGGGTGTAAACAAGAAAGCCATGGGGTGGGGTGTAAACAAGAAAGCCATGGGGTGGGGTGTAAACAAGAAAGCCATGGGGTGGGGTGTAAACAAGAAAGCCATGGGGTGGGGTGTAAACAAGAAAGCCATGGGGTGGGGTGTAAACAAGAAAGCCATGGGGTGGGGTGTAAACAAGAAAGCCATGGGGTGGGGTGTAAACAAGAAAGCCATGGGGTGGGGTGTAAACAAGAAAGCCATGGGGTGGGGTGTAAACAAGAAAGCCATGGGGTGGGGTGTAAACAAGAAAGCCATGGGGTGGGGTGTAAACAAGAAAGCCATGGGGTGGGGTGTAAACAAGAAAGCCATGGGGTGGGGTGTAAACAAGAAAGCCATGGGGTGGGGTGTAAACAAGAAAGCCATGGGGTGGGGTGTAAACAAGAAAGCCATGGGGTGGGGTGTAAACAAGAAAGCCATGGGGTGGGGTGTAAACAAGAAAGCCATGGGGTGGGGTGTAAACAAGAAAGCCATGGGGTGGGGTGTAAACAAGAAAGCCATGGGGTGGGGTGTAAACAAGAAAGCCATGGGGTGGGGTGTAAACAAGAAAGCCATGGGGTGGGGTGTAAACAAGAAAGCCATGGGGTGGGGTGTAAACAAGAAAGCCATGGGGTGGGGTGTAAACAAGAAAGCCATGGGGTGGGGTGTAAACAAGAAAGCCATGGGGTGGGGTGTAAACAAGAAAGCCATGGGGTGGGGTGTAAACAAGAAAGCCATGGGGTGGGGTGTAAACAAGAAAGCCATGGGGTGGGGTGTAAACAAGAAAGCCATGGGGTGGGGTGTAAACAAGAAAGCCATGGGGTGGGGTGTAAACAAGAAAGCCATGGGGTGGGGTGTAAACAAGAAAGCCATGGGGTGGGGTGTAAACAAGAAAGCCATGGGGTGGGGTGTAAACAAGAAAGCCATGGGGTGGGGTGTAAACAAGAAAGCCATGGGGTGGGGTGTAAACAAGAAAGCCATGGGGTGGGGTGTAAACAAGAAAGCCATGGGGTGGGGTGTAAACAAGAAAGCCATGGGGTGGGGTGTAAACAAGAAAGCCATGGGGTGGGGTGTAAACAAGAAAGCCATGGGGTGGGGTGTAAACAAGAAAGCCATGGGGTGGGGTGTAAACAAGAAAGCCATGGGGTGGGGTGTAAACAAGAAAGCCATGGGGTGGGGTGTAAACAAGAAAGCCATGGGGTGGGGTGTAAACAAGAAAGCCATGGGGTGGGGTGTAAACAAGAAAGCCATGGGGTGGGGTGTAAACAAGAAAGCCATGGGGTGGGGTGTAAACAAGAAAGCCATGGGGTGGGGTGTAAACAAGAAAGCCATGGGGTGGGGTGTAAACAAGAAAGCCATGGGGTGGGGTGTAAACAAGAAAGCCATGGGGTGGGGTGTAAACAAGAAAGCCATGGGGTGGGGTGTAAACAAGAAAGCCATGGGGTGGGGTGTAAACAAGAAAGCCATGGGGTGGGGTGTAAACAAGAAAGCCATGGGGTGGGGTGTAAACAAGAAAGCCATGGGGTGGGGTGTAAACAAGAAAGCCATGGGGTGGGGTGTAAACAAGAAAGCCATGGGGTGGGGTGTAAACAAGAAAGCCATGGGGTGGGGTGTAAACAAGAAAGCCATGGGGTGGGGTGTAAACAAGAAAGCCATGGGGTGGGGTGTAAACAAGAAAGCCATGGGGTGGGGTGTAAACAAGAAAGCCATGGGGTGGGGTGTAAACAAGAAAGCCATGGGGTGGGGTGTAAACAAGAAAGCCATGGGGTGGGGTGTAAACAAGAAAGCCATGGGGTGGGGTGTAAACAAGAAAGCCATGGGGTGGGGTGTAAACAAGAAAGCCATGGGGTGGGGTGTAAACAAGAAAGCCATGGGGTGGGGTGTAAACAAGAAAGCCATGGGGTGGGGTGTAAACAAGAAAGCCATGGGGTGGGGTGTAAACAAGAAAGCCATGGGGTGGGGTGTAAACAAGAAAGCCATGGGGTGGGGTGTAAACAAGAAAGCCATGGGGTGGGGTGTAAACAAGAAAGCCATGGGGTGGGGTGTAAACAAGAAAGCCATGGGGTGGGGTGTAAACAAGAAAGCCATGGGGTGGGGTGTAAACAAGAAAGCCATGGGGTGGGGTGTAAACAAGAAAGCCATGGGGTGGGGTGTAAACAAGAAAGCCATGGGGTGGGGTGTAAACAAGAAAGCCATGGGGTGGGGTGTAAACAAGAAAGCCATGGGGTGGGGTGTAAACAAGAAAGCCATGGGGTGGGGTGTAAACAAGAAAGCCATGGGGTGGGGTGTAAACAAGAAAGCCATGGGGTGGGGTGTAAACAAGAAAGCCATGGGGTGGGGTGTAAACAAGAAAGCCATGGGGTGGGGTGTAAACAAGAAAGCCATGGGGTGGGGTGTAAACAAGAAAGCCATGGGGTGGGGTGTAAACAAGAAAGCCATGGGGTGGGGTGTAAACAAGAAAGCCATGGGGTGGGGTGTAAACAAGAAAGCCATGGGGTGGGGTGTAAACAAGAAAGCCATGGGGTGGGGTGTAAACAAGAAAGCCATGGGGTGGGGTGTAAACAAGAAAGCCATGGGGTGGGGTGTAAACAAGAAAGCCATGGGGTGGGGTGTAAACAAGAAAGCCATGGGGTGGGGTGTAAACAAGAAAGCCATGGGGTGGGGTGTAAACAAGAAAGCCATGGGGTGGGGTGTAAACAAGAAAGCCATGGGGTGGGGTGTAAACAAGAAAGCCATGGGGTGGGGTGTAAACAAGAAAGCCATGGGGTGGGGTGTAAACAAGAAAGCCATGGGGTGGGGTGTAAACAAGAAAGCCATGGGGTGGGGTGTAAACAAGAAAGCCATGGGGTGGGGTGTAAACAAGAAAGCCATGGGGTGGGGTGTAAACAAGAAAGCCATGGGGTGGGGTGTAAACAAGAAAGCCATGGGGTGGGGTGTAAACAAGAAAGCCATGGGGTGGGGTGTAAACAAGAAAGCCATGGGGTGGGGTGTAAACAAGAAAGCCATGGGGTGGGGTGTAAACAAGAAAGCCATGGGGTGGGGTGTAAACAAGAAAGCCATGGGGTGGGGTGTAAACAAGAAAGCCATGGGGTGGGGTGTAAACAAGAAAGCCATGGGGTGGGGTGTAAACAAGAAAGCCATGGGGTGGGGTGTAAACAAGAAAGCCATGGGGTGGGGTGTAAACAAGAAAGCCATGGGGTGGGGTGTAAACAAGAAAGCCATGGGGTGGGGTGTAAACAAGAAAGCCATGGGGTGGGGTGTAAACAAGAAAGCCATGGGGTGGGGTGTAAACAAGAAAGCCATGGGGTGGGGTGTAAACAAGAAAGCCATGGGGTGGGGTGTAAACAAGAAAGCCATGGGGTGGGGTGTAAACAAGAAAGCCATGGGGTGGGGTGTAAACAAGAAAGCCATGGGGTGGGGTGTAAACAAGAAAGCCATGGGGTGGGGTGTAAACAAGAAAGCCATGGGGTGGGGTGTAAACAAGAAAGCCATGGGGTGGGGTGTAAACAAGAAAGCCATGGGGTGGGGTGTAAACAAGAAAGCCATGGGGTGGGGTGTAAACAAGAAAGCCATGGGGTGGGGTGTAAACAAGAAAGCCATGGGGTGGGGTGTAAACAAGAAAGCCATGGGGTGGGGTGTAAACAAGAAAGCCATGGGGTGGGGTGTAAACAAGAAAGCCATGGGGTGGGGTGTAAACAAGAAAGCCATGGGGTGGGGTGTAAACAAGAAAGCCATGGGGTGGGGTGTAAACAAGAAAGCCATGGGGTGGGGTGTAAACAAGAAAGCCATGGGGTGGGGTGTAAACAAGAAAGCCATGGGGTGGGGTGTAAACAAGAAAGCCATGGGGTGGGGTGTAAACAAGAAAGCCATGGGGTGGGGTGTAAACAAGAAAGCCATGGGGTGGGGTGTAAACAAGAAAGCCATGGGGTGGGGTGTAAACAAGAAAGCCATGGGGTGGGGTGTAAACAAGAAAGCCATGGGGTGGGGTGTAAACAAGAAAGCCATGGGGTGGGGTGTAAACAAGAAAGCCATGGGGTGGGGTGTAAACAAGAAAGCCATGGGGTGGGGTGTAAACAAGAAAGCCATGGGGTGGGGTGTAAACAAGAAAGCCATGGGGTGGGGTGTAAACAAGAAAGCCATGGGGTGGGGTGTAAACAAGAAAGCCATGGGGTGGGGTGTAAACAAGAAAGCCATGGGGTGGGGTGTAAACAAGAAAGCCATGGGGTGGGGTGTAAACAAGAAAGCCATGGGGTGGGGTGTAAACAAGAAAGCCATGGGGTGGGGTGTAAACAAGAAAGCCATGGGGTGGGGTGTAAACAAGAAAGCCATGGGGTGGGGTGTAAACAAGAAAGCCATGGGGTGGGGTGTAAACAAGAAAGCCATGGGGTGGGGTGTAAACAAGAAAGCCATGGGGTGGGGTGTAAACAAGAAAGCCATGGGGTGGGGTGTAAACAAGAAAGCCATGGGGTGGGGTGTAAACAAGAAAGCCATGGGGTGGGGTGTAAACAAGAAAGCCATGGGGTGGGGTGTAAACAAGAAAGCCATGGGGTGGGGTGTAAACAAGAAAGCCATGGGGTGGGGTGTAAACAAGAAAGCCATGGGGTGGGGTGTAAACAAGAAAGCCATGGGGTGGGGTGTAAACAAGAAAGCCATGGGGTGGGGTGTAAACAAGAAAGCCATGGGGTGGGGTGTAAACAAGAAAGCCATGGGGTGGGGTGTAAACAAGAAAGCCATGGGGTGGGGTGTAAACAAGAAAGCCATGGGGTGGGGTGTAAACAAGAAAGCCATGGGGTGGGGTGTAAACAAGAAAGCCATGGGGTGGGGTGTAAACAAGAAAGCCATGGGGTGGGGTGTAAACAAGAAAGCCATGGGGTGGGGTGTAAACAAGAAAGCCATGGGGTGGGGTGTAAACAAGAAAGCCATGGGGTGGGGTGTAAACAAGAAAGCCATGGGGTGGGGTGTAAACAAGAAAGCCATGGGGTGGGGTGTAAACAAGAAAGCCATGGGGTGGGGTGTAAACAAGAAAGCCATGGGGTGGGGTGTAAACAAGAAAGCCATGGGGTGGGGTGTAAACAAGAAAGCCATGGGGTGGGGTGTAAACAAGAAAGCCATGGGGTGGGGTGTAAACAAGAAAGCCATGGGGTGGGGTGTAAACAAGAAAGCCATGGGGTGGGGTGTAAACAAGAAAGCCATGGGGTGGGGTGTAAACAAGAAAGCCATGGGGTGGGGTGTAAACAAGAAAGCCATGGGGTGGGGTGTAAACAAGAAAGCCATGGGGTGGGGTGTAAACAAGAAAGCCATGGGGTGGGGTGTAAACAAGAAAGCCATGGGGTGGGGTGTAAACAAGAAAGCCATGGGGTGGGGTGTAAACAAGAAAGCCATGGGGTGGGGTGTAAACAAGAAAGCCATGGGGTGGGGTGTAAACAAGAAAGCCATGGGGTGGGGTGTAAACAAGAAAGCCATGGGGTGGGGTGTAAACAAGAAAGCCATGGGGTGGGGTGTAAACAAGAAAGCCATGGGGTGGGGTGTAAACAAGAAAGCCATGGGGTGGGGTGTAAACAAGAAAGCCATGGGGTGGGGTGTAAACAAGAAAGCCATGGGGTGGGGTGTAAACAAGAAAGCCATGGGGTGGGGTGTAAACAAGAAAGCCTTGGGGTGGGGTGTAAACAAGAAAGCCATGGGGTGGGGTGTAAACAAGAAAGCCTTGGGGTGGGGTGTAAACAAGAAAGCCATGGGGTGGGGTGTAAACAAGAAAGCCTTGGGGTGGGGTGTAAACAAGAAAGCCATGGGGTGGGGTGTAAACAAGAAAGCCTTGGGGTGGGGTGTAAACAAGAAAGCCATGGGGTGGGGTGTAAACAAGAAAGCCTTGGGGTGGGGTGTAAACAAGAAAGCCATGGGGTGGGGTGTAAACAAGAAAGCCTTGGGGTGGGGTGTAAACAAGAAAGCCATGGGGTGGGGTGTAAACAAGAAAGCCTTGGGGTGGGGTGTAAACAAGAAAGCCATGGGGTGGGGTGTAAACAAGAAAGCCATGGGGTGGGGTGTAAAAAAGAAAGCCATGGGTTGGGGTGTAAACAAGAAAGCCTCGGGGTGGGGTGTAAACAAGAAAACCTTGATTGTTGCAAGTTGTAGCAACTTCATTTTGATCGCATTAGAGTGGAATATTATGCCGAGTGCCTTCGGAATGCTATTCGGTGTTGTAAATTGGCTTCAGATCCGAATCAAGCAGAGTATAAGTGTAAACGCTATATTCTATTATGGAGGCCAATTCCTTGTATGCATTTCATAATTGTCATTGGAGAAACCAAGTTGATCTGATCCCCTTATTGCAATACTTTGGACCAGTAGCTTTACTTTTTTATTCCTGTTATTTGTTTTTGGCAATAGTATCCTTTTACCCGTATCTGTAATGCTTTAGTTGTTGTGAGGAAGTACATTGTAAACCCCGACAAAACCACAATCACCACAGGAAGCAGTGAGACCTTGAGGTCGACGCGATAGCAATTACCACTACAAACCTTGAATCACGTGACAATCAAGTCGATTGGACGCTTCTTCTGTAAGCCCCTCCCCTAACGGTGCCGCGCCACAGATAATCCCATCAATGCTGCTGACGTCATAGTTGTTCACAAGAGGAGACTTGGCAAGAAACAGCACAACAGGAGGAACTAGATGCAGGAAGGAGATCTGCGGTAAAAAAGTCAAAATATGTTCACATACGTTGAGAAAATTGTACCTGTATATCTCCCGGCAACGGTAAGTATTGAACTGTTAGCCACTTTAGCTCTGTATCGATTGACACTACAGGGAATTCTCTTTAGACAAATCTGTAAAAAGCAACCGAACGATTTCACTACAAATTTATAAGAAACACTAGTTCTGCCATATTTTATAGGTACATTCCAACTTTTGTTATGGAAAATATGTCTTCCTACCTAGAGAAAGAACAGTGGCACGCGCTGTTATACAATAAACAGAGCTCTTCTGTCAAAATGAACTTTGACCCAATAACCTCCAAAAGAAAATGAGTACGCCGCCACTTTCTATTCACGTGAGCAAACAACTGCGAATGCGACCTCAGCACAGCAGTTCGAAAATGTGGTGAAAAGGGGAAAATAGTAATTATTTTCATTAATTAAGAGAGGTTCGATTTCATAAGATAAATTTAGACTTTATATTCTTCCCATATGTAAAGCTACTTCCAACTGACCAATTTAGGCTTTATATTTAAACTTCATATTTTATTCCAATATACATTTTGTATTAATATAAATCTATTATATATCAATTATATGATGTGAAATAATTGTTAATACATATTATGTCTTTTGGTTTAACCAATTTGCTGGGCATCAATTTTTAAACTACAGTCAAACTTGCCTTAACAGTCACCTGCTATATACGGTCACCTGACGTTAGCGGTCGACCCCGACGAAAATCAATATATTAGTACATTTGAATAAGCGGTCACCTTTCTAACGCGTCCGACGGTCACTAAAATACACGCCGTCATGACATACAAAATGTATCACCTTGTTTAAACGGTCAAAAGACAGTAAACCAGTGTCAGTGATAGAAAAATAAGACGGGGGTGAGGTGTGACGACTGTGTAAACATCAACTATTAAAACAAATGACCGTCGACTACCAAACATTTCCTAAATAACCAACAGCGTTGATGTGAAGCAAACAATGCGTTAGACCTCTAGACGGTTGATGTGAAGCAAACAATGCGTTAGACCTCTAGACGGTTGACGGAAGTATACATATACCACATCGATGTGAACTCAACAAACGATTGGCTCAAATCCTACCCACCTTATGTTTCTGAATAGCACCAAGGAAGTTTTCGGGTTCGAACTTCGGGAGCGTGATGAGTTTGGTCCCCAAACAGGTCGCTCCGAACTGTACCACTACAAGACCATAGATGTGATAAAACGGAAGAAGGCCGATCAAACACTCTTTGTCAGGGTCAAGGGCCATCGGACCTCTGGAAATAGTAACCATCGAAAATAGAAAACTAATGGTCAAACATCATCCATATTATAGATAAATTATGAAACGAATTGTATCTATTTTAAATCGCTGTGGTTGACCCGGAGAGTAACGCGCTTTGGACTATGCAATCTCATTTAAGTAAGGCCTTTCTGATACGAAATATTGAAAATTTCAATCTTTGTTTTTGTCTTCGGTTACTTCGGTGGACTCACTAATTATGTACTTGGTGTATAAATTGGTTGGGAATTCACACGAACAAATATCGAGGAAATTAGATATGGCCCGGGCAGGTTCGGCCCAAGATACCGGGGCAAGTTTGGTCCATGCAAGACATAAATTGTCGTGAAATTGGCAGGACCATCAGACGTTCCATGCTTTATGACGTCACACGTAAGCAACGTGGGCCGAACTTACTCGATTGCCTTCCGAACTCTCCCCAAGGCGTAGCTCGTTCGGCCATCTAATCTTCCGACAGGATAATTCTTCCAATACGAACTTGTTTTTCATAAACAAATGCAACACTGCATAAAACTACTTTAATACAAATTGTTTAAACTTGCCCTAGTCTCCCCTAATTGTTATGTCGATCAGTCTCATTACAGCATGTGTTTTATTGTTATTCCTCGACTTGCCTACTTTGAAAAAAGCTTATCTTATCTTCGTCTGAAACAGTAAATATCAGAGATTAACACAGACTACGCCCTTTTTTTTATCAATGGCCATCTTACCAAAAGGATAAATTTAAACGTCTCAAAACACCAAGGTCATATAAAGAAGAGTGGCTAGATGGTCACCGGTAAAAAACCCAGTTGGCAAGCAGTAATGGATAAAGATTTTTTGAAATATAGTTGTTTATCACATAATCGGCCTGTTATCCAGTGAATATTTTTACATATGTCACTAGTGTTATATACACTGGAGCGTTTTTCATTGGCTGTGCCAGTCAGAAATCGATTGTGACGTCATTATATGGACAATGACGTGACGTCATCAATTGTGAATGGCTGTCTCCGTTTGATTAAGCCCTCTACATTTATGCTTTAAAACCTGTCAAAATAAAAGTTTTCTGATTTATGTGATAAAAAGTATCTTAAATTTGTATTCATTTCTATTTTTATGAAACTTGTCTCGAAGTTTTAATTTTTGCTCGCCAAGGCTCGCAAAAATAAAAACTCCTAATACTCGTTTCATAAAATCTCATATGAAATGAAAACTCATTTTAGATCCTACATATAAGCAGGCCGATTCCCCTCCCGAAGCTAGGGGCCTATGTTTTATTGTTTAGTTTCTAACCTCTTACATCACTTGCAACCTTGGTGTTTAGCGTTGGTTCATCACTCCGAGACGAGCGATAGTCCTTAAAGCAGCTGTCTGACTGCTCTCCCTCCGACTGTCAGCTTAGAAAAGGTATGTACAAGGACTTGTTTGCCTGTAGTCAGTTAATACGTTTGGGTGGAGTCTATCACGCTACTCTGTTCAGTTTATAACATTTCAATGAGATGATACTGAACCTAAATTTGCCTATTTGTGTACACTGTCTTCACCTGACCTTAGCTGTTGAATGACCCTAAATTAAGATATTCATTTTGAAGACGTCGTCAATCGTAAAATGTAAATACATCATAACTCAGTAGTTTTAAACATATAAAGCTGACTATTTGTACATTGATTTGATAAAATCATTACAACATATCTTCTAACGCTCCGTTCACTGTTTTGATCAATACGCAATATGTGACAAGCTGTCGATCGTGAAAATTGAATTCATAATGACCCCGTCAATTTTCCACAAATCAACCGTAAACATGGTATTATACTTTATTCATGTTGTTTTACGATATTATATAAAAACTCGCTTTATAGCTTGATCAATACTAATTACCTATTCATAACAATTACATCAGCAATAAACCCTACTTGATCGCCTGGAGGATGTTTGCCACGACGTTGTTATGAGTAAGCATGACGCCCTTAGATAGACCCGTGGTCCCACTGGAGTAGGGCAGGAACAGGACGTCATCGGAATCTATGTCTACGTTCTCCGGAAATGCCTTCCCGTCATCCTCCAATAGAACAGAAAACGGTACACACCCTTCCGCCGCTCCTCCAATAGTGATTAGCCACTGGAAGCAAAATTGTTATTGGTGAAATAGTTATTAGCATGTATCAGAGACATGTTTTGTCCACGTCAGTCGTATATACTCTCTTGATCTCGAGCTCAATGACACTACAAACAATGTTATATCAGTTGCTTACACTTTCGTTTGTTTGATTGTAGAGTTTGGTTTGGGATCTTTGCACAATGCCACCGTTGTTGCACAATTATACAAACGTTATGCCCATTTATGAAACATTGGCTTCGGATATGCTCTGGAAGCCAGTCACCATGAACGGATGCAGTGCATAACACATACATTTGTATTTGTTCGTTTGTATTAAAGGCTGTGAGGTTATCGTAATCATACTGTCATAACTATTATCAAATTTATTTTATTAGTTATATACAATCTAGATAAAATATAGCAACATATATTAAAATATGTAAACATCAGAATCATAAAGGTTTACAAAATACGAGATCATATTAATATACAAGCCATTGCTAAATTTACAATATTCATGATCGCTACCTCACTTCGTTTGTCCAGATGTGCACTAGCTATTATCGCCAAGTTTGCTTATCGCTCGAACAAGGTACACGTACGACAATTTGTATTAAAGACTAAAAGGTTATCTTTATCATGCTTTCTTATAGCTTCAATTATTTAAATGTATCCGTTTCGGTCAATTTGTTTGAGGTCTTTAGTGTTGCAAAAGGGTCAGCAGAACAATTTGGATCTTTTCCGTATCCCCTATGCAGAAAACACACATTCTGCAAGGGTCATACATTACAATGTTGTCGCCTTTTACGGTAACTTGAACATATAACAAATGGATACTTGTATTGGTAAATGATGTACATGTTCGACACAGTATAACGCATTCAATTAAGGCAGTTCAGATGTCTTTTCCTATCTTACCTGTTATTTCCATCCTTCATCTCTACAATTTGTAACCTCTCCCTTGTCATGCTTACTTTTTGGTTACAATGTAGGACATTCGATCATGTGAGGAAGGAGTTCTGGTCCCAAGACGGGACATACCAAAGTTCTTAAAATGGTAGTTGTTATTCCTTACTAGAAGTTCTGCAATAATGGTAAGCTTAACGACTGTGTGCCCGTTGTCGGTATCATGTGACCGAGTGGAATACTATGCCGGGTACCATTTGCATGAACGTTTAGCAAGATGGCACTCTAAAATGAGCATCAAATCCAAGCTATTGAAATGAGGAAGACACACGTATGCATTGCATACATGGATGTACGTCCTGAAACACCCTTGTCTGTTAAATATCATATAACGGTAAACTCTGTAAACCATACCTTGACTGAGTCGGCCAGGTCTGGGGACGAGTTGGCTGCTCCTCTGGCGGTCGGTACCAATTCCGGTATTGTTACTATCGCCTTCGCTGTGCAGTGGCCAAGTTGCCTGCCTAACTCACCTGAAATGTTTAAACGCAATTAAACATTTATTCATCCATCACTATCTGAGGTTAACTGCAACAAACAATAGTTGGGATATCGCACCTACGGAAGTCAAGGTTGGCATAATATCATAAGCACTATGAGGACATTATTTTCTTGTATCTTTTTAGGCTCTCAAGATGAGATATTTGCTATTAAATATGGTTACCTGGTGTATAGAAAGAATTACTAACTCAAAACGTGTGGATTTTCAAATAGTGTTGTGTTAGTGTCAATAAAATGAATCCGTAAAACCACGCTTACATCTATATAATTGTTTGGCATTTTTCCAAAACAATTAATTTAAAAAAATCGCTTTTGCATTCGGTTAATACTACAAATGCAATCCGGTAAGAGGAGGAATATTTCTATTTACTTTTATAATGAGGGATAGAAACTTACCCACGTTAGCGTTGGCAGGTGTGTGACATATCTACCTGCTGTGTTGGTGAGGTAGTGATGACATATATACCTGCTGTATAGACTAAGTATCATACCTGTCTACTGTGTAGGTGGTATAGTACAGACGTGTCTACCTACAAGCGCGGTGCCTACTGTATCTGTGGGAAAGTGTCGTACATACATGTATCTACCAACAGCAAAGGTGAAGAAGTAGCATGCATCCCTACTCCAAAACGCAGTAACATACCTGCATACAGTTAACTTACCTACTGCATAGGCGCTGTTAGCAGTGCTGATGACCAGCCCTAGTGCAGCACAGGCGAGGATGACGACCGTGTACTCCGGTGAGTTACTACAGAAGACAAGCACGGTATCACCTTTTCGCAGTCCAAGTCGATTGAGACCACTAGCTACACGGATGGAAGAATCTTTTATCCAGGACGATGTGTACGACCGGCCCGTCAAATAGTCCACCTACAGTTGTGTTTTATGAAGATATTAAAGAATATTGAAACTTGTAAATAACTAATTCTCAATTGCAGGTCGAAATCCAAGAATAAATAAAACAGGAGAATCCACTACTTGGTGTATTTGTTTGACGTTTGTTGTCCCTTTTATTAAAGGTACTGAAATTATTTCCACACAAACTATTATAATGATTAAGCTCAAATGTGAAATGTATATCGGTAACCTATATTAGTATTCACTACTTCCGCATCTCAATACATTTAGTTTGTTAAAGGTTAAACGTCTCCAACACAGTAGATAAGGACATGTTTAATATGAGGACGAGTGCTTAATGGGACACTGGCGAACATGTTTTTGGTTTGTTTCTGTTTTACGACCTATTCACATCTATGGCCATTTAAAGACGCGCAAGGTTGTGGTGGCGGGGTACCCAAAGTAAAAACATCACTGACCTGCGGCCAGAACCTGGCGACTGCCCCACGTAGGCCTCGAACCTGTGACCCAGAGTTGGAGGGCTAGTGATCGAAGAGGGCAGACGCCTTAACCACTTAGCTACGGCAGCCCCCAGGCGAGTAGGAAGGGGGAGGGGGGACAAAAGTATTTCAAAATGTTGTAATTCGGACAGCAGATCAATTTATAATTAAGTCAGTATATATTGTCAGAGAGGGTCTACCCTTTACCGGAACCTGCAAGGGATGTATCACATACCAAATTTGGTAAGTCCTTACTTCGTGACATATCACAAGGGATGCGCCTCGGTATGCACACACACGTATTATGAATTCTTCACTACGAGATAAAATCTATACTTCCTAGTTAAATTATATTTTTCATTATTATATGAATGACGTACATAGCTGAGCACCATCTATAGAAAACAAATTCATATAAGCTTGATTTTTTGAATTCCATTTCTAAGCAAACTAATGTTGCAATTAGAACGAAATTTCGTTTATAAGAAAAGGTTCCACTAGATGAAAACTCGAACGGATGATTTTGATTGTTTGTATGGGGTTTAACGCCACGGAAATAGCAAGGATAATACGAGGATGGGTGTCTTTAGAGACACCGCCTAAAACAGAATGTAGAAAAAAAATAAGATAGCAAAGAAAGCAAACGAAAAAAATCCGAAGTATTGTAATGGGGGCAGCAGATCAATGTTGGTATCTTCTATGTCCCCTTGGTAAAAAAAAAACTGAGGAAAATCCCCGATCCTGTAGGGGACCTAGGCGCCTTTTACCATACACATTACGATACACATTACGATAACATTACGATACACATTACATTATACATTACGATACACATTACGATAACATTACGATACACATTACGATACACATTACGATAACATTACGATAGACATTACAATACACATTACGATACACATATTACGATACACATTACGATAACATTACGATGTACACATTACGATACACATTACGATAAACATTACGATAACATTACGATAGACATTACAACAACATTACAATACACATTACGATACACGTTACGATAACATTACGATACACATAACGATACACATTACGATACACATAACGATACACATTACGATACACATTACGATAAACATTACGATAACATTACGATAACATTACGATACACATTACGATACACATTACGATAACATTACGATACACATTACGATAATATTACGATAACATTACGATACAGCAAATCTATTCTCGATGTTTTATTACACAAGAACATAATTTATTAGTCTCTATTGATGTGATAGAAAATAATTACATGCAAGCATACTTTTATTATTTCCTTTATACATTTTAGTTCATGAACAACACATACATTATTTTCGCATGATACTTTCGTCATTTACATATCATCAACGAAAAATTAAAATAAAACAATTGCCCGATTTGTTTGCGTATTGAAAACGTTCTAGTTCAATATTGGCAAATGATATAATGCTGTTTTATTGATAAATTAAATAGTCACGAACAAGCAATATATTCATACAGATCTCCCGTTCTAAAATAGTTTTATTCATTTCTTTCGTATTGAAATATTTTAGTATAATACACACTGTATTGGCAAGCGATATGATAAATACTTACGGTTGCTATTGCATCTTTGCGGCTGTCCAAGCAGTTGAAGACAAACTCTGCGAAGGAATTCGAAGGAATCTCAAGTTTGGGATGAGGACTGTTTACTAGAGTACCTTCCGATGATTTTTCTAAAATAGTATTTTTACACTTTGACATATGAAGCGACCTTTCGGCTCCCGATATCTGCCGTTTCGCTTCTCGTCCGAGATATCCGGTTGGTCGTCCTATATCAACTTCTGAGTTTGATTGGAGAATATTGTCGTGTGATGATATAGTGTAGCTGCGACATATTAACCGTGTTTGCACAGATTGTCTAAGAATATCTGGAAATCTCCGCAAGAAATTTCCCATCACATATTTGGACATCGTCACACATTTTGACATCCTTCACACGATTGTCCTGACACGCACCTGAAAAAATAGTTAAAAAATTATTGTAAAACTAATGCACTTGTGATTTGGGTTTAGCGTCCTGGCAACAGCCAGGGTCATATGAGGACGGATGCTAGGGAGACAACAGCCAGGGTCATATGAGGACGGATGCTAGGGAGACAACAGCCAGGGTCATATGAGGACGGATGCTAGGGAGACAACAGCCAGGGTCATATGAGGACGGATGCTAGGGAGACAACAGCCAGGGTCATATGAGGACGGATGCTAGGGAGACAACAGCCAGGGTCATATGAGGACGGATGCTAGGGAGACAACAGCCAGGGTCATATGAGGACGGATGCTAGGGAGACTCCGCCTGAAACTGAAAGTACACGATTGGCGGTGTGCGAACGATACACATCTGGACGGTTATTGCTAGCGATCGATTAATGAACGTTGCGAGATGACAATCGTGGTTGGTGTAAATAGCTTTACAATATATACCGTTTCGTGTTTTAAAATATAAACTTGATAGTTTAAGTATGATTTCATATTCTAGCTCCATATATTCACGTGGAAGCTGACTTTTCTATATTTTCTTACAATTTAGAAATAGTGTTTTGATGTTGTTTAAACGACTGTTACGGCACGATTTCTAATCCAGACACGATTTCTCACCCGGGTGAGACATCGTGGTAAAAGTGCTGCGTTCGCAACACGATTTCTCACCCAACTCTCAATTGGGGATGTATTTTGTCCGTGGTGTCTTAAAACTTGCCTAAGTGTACATGTAATATTTGAGCTGACATGATTTCAAATGAGTAGTAGTTCAATGTACAACATGCCTTATATTTATTGATTGATTTATCTATCAATCTATTTATTCAAATATTATTATATAACTCAATGCTTTTTACCGAAAGTCGATCTAAACCCCTAAAACATATACAATGTTAGGACTTTTTGTTTCTATGCTATGACTATTGGACTAAATTTGCAAGGTTTTGTCCATATAAATAAATGCACTTCTGGTCTTTATAGCATATACAAGTGTTTTTGTTACATAATGTTGTTTGAAACGTTTAACGTGTAAGAAGTGTTCCGCAACCGTTCAAGGTATCTGCTTGTCAAATATTAAGACTACTTGGCACAGGTGGTACATACAAATAGTTGATAGACTACTGAAGTACGATATCACAGCATAGCATTACAGACACTCCGAGGCAGGAGAGTAAAAATATTTGATAAACAATGAAATAAAGTAACTGGAAACTAAATAAAAAGACCACAACAAGATCCGAGAGGGGCATATAAACAAACCAGTGTTCAAAAATTACTGAAACTGTGATAGGTGTTGCGGAAAGTTAAACGCATTTTGCATCATATAATGTAATATCTGTCGTAATGTCTGTCACCTTGTTGAAGGTCACCAGCTTTTTAAACTCAAGTGCATATGTTTTAAATTATTTATGCACTGGTATGCTTAACTGCAAATCAGATGCAAACAAAATCCAATACTTTTTGTTATGATAAAGTGAACCTTATTTTTTTAATTATACCAAATGCATTTTGTTCTCATAGATTCAGTGAGGCGACAAACCGGTAGACATTTACGTTGGCCCGTTAGAGCTATATAATATGAAAATGATTTATTAATGATTGCCACTAATTTATCTTGAAACGAGGCCGCCAATTGCTTACCACAGAAACAGAAACTGTTATAGCTTGAAATGATAGGCCATGATTTAGATCTGTTCGGGAACTTAACATCGAAAATCATTAGTGACTACATGTACATGTATTATATGCAACTACCTCTATACTTGTATCCCTCTATACAATCACGCATGCTTTTATGTGTATGTTGTATATCTTTGTATGCAATTGTAGGTCAAAGTTGTTGAGATAAAATGAAACAAGAGGCACATAGGGTCTGTATCGCCCACCTTGATAATGAAGAAACAATGGGAAATTATTCTTATTACAAACAATCCCTCCAATGGTACAGAAGAAGTATTTTAAAGAATTAAACCTCAAATTTCCCTTTTTAGCCCCGCCTCTCTGCACCCAAAGGGGCCACAACCACCGTTTATGCAAGATAAAGTCCTTTTTGCCCAAGGATACTCTAGATCAAATGAGAATAAAAAACTTATCCCTTCCGTAGAAGCATGGGTTTAAAGGTCTTACTTCTATTTTCCCTATTGGAGCCCGCCCCTCTCAACCCAGGGGGTCCAAACCCACCATTTTAATGAGATTGAGTCCCCTTTATCCAAGGACGCTCCAGACCAAATTGGGACGAAATCCCTGTGGTAAAAGAAGGATTTTAAAGGGTTACCTCTATTTTCCCTATGGGGCCCTATCCCTCTGCCCCAGGAAGTCTAAACCAACAATTTAACAAAATTGTGCTCTTGGCCAAAGGATGCTCCAGACCAAATTGGGATGAAATCCAATAATCCGTATGGTAGAAGGATTTAAAAGGTTTTACCTCTATTTCCCCTATTGGGCCCCGCTTTTCTGCCCTCAGGGAGCCACACTCACCAAACTATAAAATTGAGTCCCATTGGCCTAAGGATGCTCTAGGCAAAATTTAGTCCAAATCTACTGGGTCGTTCAGGACTAGTAGCATTTTAAAGGAAAAGTTGACGGACGGACGGACGACGGACGCTGCAGTATGGCATACGCTCACCATGGTCCTTTGGACCAGGTGAGCTAAAATTTGAAGTTCGAACAAGTTTGAAGTTGGAAAAGGTTTAAGTTTGAGCAGTTGTTTCTAAATAAACAAGCCTAAATATACAACAATCCTCCAAAATCTAAACCAGTGTTCGTACTCACGGCAACGGGCAATATGCCTACTCCTAACACGATTTCTCTCCTGGGTGAGAAATCGTGTCGGGTTGAGAAACTGTACCGTAACAAAAAACACAAATCGACACATGTAAACTAAAACACATATGAAAACGGTCCCATATACATGTAAACATAACCCCTTTGTACTTGTCTGGACCGTAGTTTTCCCACCCGGGGCGGTCGTCAAAGTGTGGCAATCCAGGTGAAGGGGAGCTATAGACCAAAAAGTAAGGTCATGCAACTGTCTGCTTGAATTATGATACGTCATGATTATATTGAACTCCTTATTGAGGACAAATAAGGTAAAAGGTCATCTGGCGGACACATGTCAAGGAATACAGCTAATACAAAAATGAATCAGATACAATAATATACGATTGCAAACAAGAACATGTCTTATATGGTCATTGATTTCTAATGGTTCAGCTGTTAAGAGATGAACGTACTACACAAAGAGGTGAATGTAGCATTATATCAATGAATTTCACTACATCATACAGCTGTTTCGACCTTCTCGGAAGAACACAAATATATCGAGTTCATATAATGCAGTAAAATCGCACTAACGCGCACTCGAGGGGTCCAGTTCAATAGTTCGAGAAATGCATGATATTCGACAAATCCGAGGTTCGACCGACATCGTCATTTGTTATCATGTGGGACGACGGACAGAAGGAGCACTGCTCATATCGCGGATAGTAGATGATGAAAGTAAAAAAAAGTTTAATAAAGAAGACAACACTTATAAGATATGAAATAGCTGAACAATGAAAACATGTAGTCTATTAAGAAAGGTAATAAAATTCTAAAAAAACTGCATGTGTAACGTACTTGTCGTTTTGACATATTCCGCCATACTGTAATCGGCTAGGTTAATTTTACTAAATATAAAAACAAGAGGAACTCTGCGATCATTTTAAAATGACGATCACGACGTATTCAAGTTTGTATATCTAAAGTTGGCCGAGAATGTGCTATGTGATTCCCACTTAACATTGCCTCCCCGACATGCAGCTACAACAGGGAAACGGTACTGACGTTAATCTTCAAATTATCTGACGTCCGACCGACACCTGTATAAGCACAATGAGCATGGTTTGGCTTAATATTGTTTAACGTCCTATCTGCAAGATGCATGCGTGTAGTGTATGCGTGTGTGTTTTGGGAGACTGCGATATGTTCGTGTTTGTCTCCTTGTGATAGCGCGGATCTGGTGCCGACTTTATAGTGCGACCTCACTGAAACATACTGCCGAAGACACCCAGCAGGACACTCCATCCGGTCACATTACACTGACAACGGGCGAACCAGTCGTCCCACTCCTAAATTGCTGAGCGTTAAGCAGGGGCGAACGCTCAACTAAAGGCCAAAAGTGAGGCATTGTTAAGGGAGACATTAGGGAGAAAAAAAGTTGTTTATAAAGATAGAACAGATAAGATCTACAGGGACACAATTAGCATGGACCGCAGTCTGTGCACACGGGTGTGTCTACCTGTTCGACGAATGGATATGTAAAAGGTTTTTAGTGGTCGGGGATAAATAAGTGTTTTTGAAATACGAGGTATTTGAGCAATGGCTGTTCGAGTAACCCAAGGTTAATTTACAAAGAATATATAAGAACACGGTTGGGACCAACCGATTCGAGGAAAAATGGGTATTCTAGTTACAATGTATGCGAGTTCGAGTAATTTGGGTTGCACTGTTCATCAATTTGAAAATAATATGTCTTTGAACATTGAAATAGTTTTTTAAAGCGTCCAGCTGACGCGATCATTTTTATGTATATTGTATTGTATGGTTGTATATATGTATTAGGAAGTTAGACTATTACTATTCCACCACAAGAAACAGTTCACGACCTACATGTACTTATCAACACTACTGACGCTCTCTTAAGGAAGATAACGTCACAGTAGATTACAAACATCACACACAACAGTACATAGCATGTAGCTCGTATTGGTACTACATGTCGGCAGTGTTACAAAACAGGGCTACACGGTATAATAGTGCCATTAGAATATAAACACTTCCATGTGAATTATTCAATGTTTACCAATATAATGCGAGAAATATTTACCTTGAAACGACTCTGACCGGCCTTCACTGAGGTATCATGTACATCAACACAGGTGACATGTATGGAGCGTCATACATGTAGCTGTCTTACGTGACTATACGAGGTGGTCGGTTATTCAGGTAAAAGCCACACATTACATGCATATCACATTCGACAAATTGGACATAAATATATATATATTATCACGGTTGTCATTTATAAGTTATTTATGCCACTAGTAATCTATCAGAGTGTTAAAAACTGGATTGGATTCGATTAATTAAAGCCACATTGTGGCTTAATGCCAATGGGGCCGCTTAATGTACATGTATTCGTCATTTCATTATATGAGATGATCGGCGCATAATGTTGAAGTGTATTATATTCTTTGATCTTGTCAGTGCTTACAATATGTAGGTGGTTATTGAAGTATATCCGACCATCCGATGACCATTTCATTATATATGTATGAGGTGATACTTCTATATATGTTTCGACAGTTTATTATTCTACTTGGTCATTTAACTTGTGAAATGACGACCAAATGTTATACAAGAGATTCCAGAATGATCTTGGCGCCCACTACGAAAAGATCTTCATCAGATATACAAAAGATGATATTTTATCATCTTCGCTCTTTATTTCCACATGATGGACAACCTAAACAGGAATCGTGTACAAACTCTAAACTCTTAATGTCAAGTTATTTGCCACTATGTTATTGTATACGACTTGTATCACTAAATACAAAATGATAAAAACTGCGATTCTTAAACATTAGAAGTGCTGTCAATCAGGGATGAATTCTCTTTTTTAACTAGTGGTACATACATGTAAAATTTGAGAGAAAGATCCATCCAGTACGTTTCAAGAAATTGAGATAACAAAAGTTACCTGTCAAAATCCAAGATGGCAACCTGTCGGCCATTTTATTTTCAATTTTTTTAATGTTTCAATAATATTTTTTGGAAATAAATACCAAGGCAAACCTTCATATCAAAGATCTGTCCAGTACTTTCTGTGAAAAACAGATATCAAACTGTGAAAGGAGACGAAAATGCACGGCCAGATCGGGGCTCGAACCCGGGATCTTCCGAGTATTTGATACAAGGGTTTGTCACAGGCACCAATAGTTCACAAAAAAAGGAAAATTGCAGAGCCGGACCGAGGTGCCAAAACAGGAACCTCCGAACTCTTGACGGACGCTCTACCAATTAAGCAACCTGATCATCGATGATCGACTCAGCTCTGTTCCGCTGCAAAAACCTTTAATGTTAAAATACAAGATGGCCTTCTGTTGGCCATAATGTTTTCCCGGTCAGTCTCGAAAGTGAGCATGCACAATTAGTGACCAAGGAAAGCTATATATCGAATTTGAGAAAGACTTTTCCTGTATTTTCTGTGAAATAGCGACCCCAATCATAACTGTCAAAATCCAAGATGGATGTCTGTCGGCATTTCATTTTTCCATTCACTCCCGTACGTAAAAGTAAATACCTATGTATGAAATTTCAGAAAGATCCCTCTAGATCTTTCTAAGGAGGAGAGTAACAAATTTAAACTATAAAAATCAAAATAGTCGCCCGTCATCCTTCTTTGCGTATTTGAACAGTCTCAAAATTAATCATTCATAATTAGGGAATTCGAAAACAATACGTCCATTACTTCCATCTGATAACAAAACTAAAATGTGAAAATCCAAGATAGCCGCATGGCGGCCCTTTTGTTTTTTCGATCAGTCTCAAAAGTCAATTTGCACAACTAAGGACCAAGGGGACAAAAATATATACTTTCTGAAAAATAGCGATAATATCTGATGATCGTATGCTTAAAACTGATTTCCGTAATCAGAAATAAATCCAAAATTGGTTTGGTTTGATTTGTTGGGTTAATCGTCCTTCTTACCACCGTTTAAAGACGTGTCTCTATGTGTGTAATGTAGGCGTACGTGTCTGATGCGGCATGTCCGATATGCCAATTTCAAAATGCCACCTCGGTAAAAACACCTTCACAGTACTCCACCTTCCCATCATGTATTGTAGCTACACTAGGCAACTACGGCTTTCCATAATCGTAAAGCGTGGTGATCTAATACGCATAGCCTATATGTATGTTTACCTACGAGACACGTGTTACAGATTGAGTACACAGTACAATACTGAGTAAGAAACTCGATTGCCGTAGTAAAATAGTTGGGTTTATTGTTATTTGGTTTAGGGTCCCCTTTTTGGGTGGGGTGGGGTATGGGGTTTAACGTCATCGCAACAGCTATTCATATGAATGCATGATTGTTGATAGGAAAAATAGACAGAAAGGGATTCTGAATGTTGCAATGGGGCCATCATATCCTAAATGGTAACAGAATGGGGATTTCAAATTTTTTCCAAGTTGTTGCCCAGAAATCAAGTTCGCTTTGGTGTGGCCAGATCCTGAGACCAAGGGTAACATCTTCGTATTTGTCTCATTATACTCTTTATTGGTATACCAGGTATATATATGGTTGTCTGGTTGGGATCTAAATCATTCCCAACTCAAAAACCCTGTCCTTCCAGTCCAATTTGGTTAAATTGCAAGCAGGGGCTGTTAACGGACGGAAGACGGACGCCACTATTGGGCTTAAACTCACCTTTGTTCTTCGGACCAGATGAGTTACATGTAAACAAGCTTTAATGTCAAGAATGTTGACACTACCGAATACATAGCAAACAAGGCTGACTGAAGGTGGAAAACGCACGCAAAACAGGTTCTCGCAACTATGTAATCTGGCTCGACTCATGCGCTCAGTCTTGTTGGCTTCGTGATAAGTTGTGATATGTCCATCATAAGAGAAATCTGAAGCATTTTCTAAACAGTTTTATCGATAAAAATGACTACATGGATAGTACATGCAGAAGGTATTTTACAACCAAAAAGAGGTCCATATTGTACAGTTGTGGGATCGCACAACCTTACGTGATTTTCGGCGTGCGATGTTCGCAAGGTGTGCCAACGATAAAAATCTCGACAATTATTGCTTGCGTATATTTGATTTGTGCGGACGATTGACGAACCTTTGGAGATGACAATCGTGGTTGGTGTAAACTGAGAAATGGCTAACAATGTATACGGTTTCGTGATTGAACATATAAACTTGACTGTTTAAGTATGTTTCTATATTCTATCTTCATATATACACGTGTAAGCTGACCTTTCCAAAATAGAATTGGTGTTTTGATGTTTTTAAACGACTTAAATCGACACATATATGTTTTGTTTTGTTTTTGTATTGTTTAACGGCCCATCAACAATGTGAGTCACTTAGGGCCAACAACACTGTAAAAAGAGACATTCACGAAAATAAACACATCAAACCAAAACTTAATAGCTTAGATATGTAAAGGATTAAAGAAATACATCAAATCAAATAATTTGCTGCACAATATATCATATTTTATTGGAAAGATCAATAGAGTGTAAATAGTCATATATGAATTGCACAGAAACTGTATCGAATAATCTTTTCATAGACGGTACATCATACAATCTGTCACGTATTTGTTTCAAATCAGCGGCGGGCGAATCAGTCGTCCCACTCCTAAATTGCTGAGCGTTAAGCAGGAGTAGAAACTACCATTTTTAAATACACTGGTATGTCTCGGCCAGGGGACAGAACCCGAAGCCTTCATCATTCGGGCGAACGCTCAACCAAAGGCCAAAAGTGAGGCATTGTCATGGGAGAAATTAGGAAGAAGAAAGTTGTTTAGAAAGTAGAGAATAGATAAGATCCCAAATTTAGTCGCCTCTTACGATCATGCAATGGGGGCAGCAGGTACAATTCTTACGCCCAACCTGCAGGGACCTACATGTACAAGGTACTTCGCAACCAAAAACAAGTCCATATTGTTCTTAATGGTAGGTAACCACACTGCTTCTATCCTTTTTAATTTCGATGAAAAATTATGAGCCCATTAAAAAATGTTATGCACATATATAAGCCTGGATGAAATACCTTAAATCAAATACATTATGTAGTATACATCAACACTAAACTTACCTTTTGTAAGCTTACACAGGTGTATATCACGAAACAAACTAACCGACAAAAGCGTTTACATATGTGCTTCTAGCCCTAGTTTCATAATGACTTTAGCAAACCTTTCAACATGGCTGTAAGGGTCGGTCAATTTCACGCTACAGGTCAGCGGTAGCTAGCTTGACCTACTTAAAGAGGACATACGAGTGTGGACAACGATACACCAGACGTTCATAAATTCTTCACACTGTCAACTTAATTACGGTTAGGTATTATGTCTGTTATAGCTTTCGTCTTTGGATACGCAATACTGATTACTTAACCACACTTTACCTTGAAAAGTATGTGTAAGCCCATAAATGATTACGCAACAGGAGCAAGTCGGACTTCTGTTACATTTATGTAAAATATTTGTCAATTGTGTTGGTGACGCTGTGTATAGTTCAGTGTAGTGTTACGGTGGCTATTTTAAAGTCTAACAAGCCGTTAGAAGACGCTATAATCACCATGCTGTTTTGACATTTTTCATATGAAATATTTAGTTTTTTCAACAATTTGTTTTCTATTACAATTTTTTGTTTCCGACAAAAAAAAAAATCATGTTCACTTTTACGATTTTTAACGAAATATTAGGCCTTTCTATATTTTTTAACACACAATCATCAGATTGTGAGGTTTAAGGACGTGCCTCAATGTATGTTGTATATGCACAGGAAGAACTTGGCATCTTTCTCATATTGCAAGGATCAGATCTAAACAACAGTATGAAGTTTTTATCACGCGCAGAACAGCCATGATGGATGGTAACCAGGAAGTGGAAAGTTGTACACCGGGCAAAATACGAATGTCTGTTTTCATAGCGTGCAATTATTCATTACATAATTCTTACTTTCGCTATTATTATAGTAAAGATAGTTTAGTTTTAAATATAATAACACGAATCGAACCACAATCTAAATTAATTATTCAAACTATAGATAGCAATTCGACTATTAAAAACGTTTGCCCCGAACCATAAGCTTACGGTTAAAGGGACGTTACTCTTTTTGAAAAAGTTGACT